GGATATATGTATGTAAAAAATAAACATACATACATACATGCACACATATTTCCCCAACAAAGAAAAATATTGTAAAACAAATATTATTGTAAAATAAATACATATGTGTAAAAGTGATTCATTCAACTTTACTTAAACTTATTTAAACCGAATTCGAAACACACTTGTGTGTATGTGCAAGTATACACGCGAATAAAATAAAATAAAAATTTTTGTTTGAAATTTCAACTCATTGTAAAATAATAAAAAAACACAAATATATTCAAACTGTTATAGTAAAACTTAAAAATCAGTCTATCGAGAGCATATACACCTAGTCATAGGTACATCAGCTTCTTCTGGTAAGTATTGCTAATGAATAACGGAGAGCCTGCAAAATGACAAATTTTCAAAATGAGCTCGTAAGTATAATTTGGAATAGGTTATAAAAAAATTATATGTTTAAAGTTTTTATAAGGCCTATCGCAAGTAAAGAAATATTTTTAGCGAGAACTTATCTTTAAGTTGAGCTACGCAATGAGAAATACAGTTACTCACACAAGTGACCACGTTTTGTTTTTTTTTGAAATATGCACAATATTTTTCAAGTTAATTTTTTGTTCTTTTCTATAAAAATATTGCCCAAGCTTTAACAAAAACCATATGAATAAAAATTTCATACCTTATAAAAAAATTTGGGAAAGTTTAACTTTGCATCAAAATTTCAAAATTTTTAATGTGAATTACATACAATTTTAATCTAAAAAAGTGCAAGTTTTAAGCGGCTCAAAAATCGTCGCGCGTTATTGCACGTTTTTTAACCGTCTTCCAAAAAAGGGGGAGGTTATCAGTTCGTCGGAATATTTTTATTTTTTATTTTTTTTTTATGTATGTTACCGCATAACTTTGGACCACGTCAACCGATTTCGGTAATGCATCGGTTTTGCATCGGAAAGGTAGTGCCTCAGCGGTGGTCCCATACTAATCTGGTTAAGATCCGATCAGTGGATCATGAGATATATATATATTTTTTATATGAGAATTGAAGTCGGTTTTTTTTTTGCTAAAAATTACTTGTTTTAAATTAATTTTAGTTGGAACGAAGTCCACCGGGTCTGCTAGTTATATAATATTTTGTCTCACTCCAACGTCATTCATAATGCTTATTTCGCAATTCGCTGCAATTTTTTGCTAAAATTATAAATGTCATGCTTATTATTTACTATTTCAATACAAGCGATATTTATGTCACTCGCTATCTATAGTATATTGATTGACACCTCATATCAAGTGCTGAATCATAAGTTTATATTAAATACCGTTTAGTATTTTTTTTTAGCTTTTTAAGATCTATAACTTACTACTCTATTTGAAATTTTCTCTTTATTTTCATATAATTAACGTTTCCAAACAAGTATGTTGATTTTTTTAAAGTCCTTCTGGGAAGATTTTTTGATCCTTGGATAATTTTGGGATCGACATTGTTGCGGATGTGGGGCAGTGATACCTTCCAGCTAATAAAACCACAATGTGGCGTGCACTCGTAAAATACCTACTGGTAAAAAAAAAAAAATTCCCCCCCCCCCCAAAAAATGTTTCGTTACTGGTCGCATGGGGTCAGCACTCAAAAAAAATATTAAAATTTGTTATAGACATTTATTTTATCAGTAGCATACTGAGAGAAAATATGTAATTTAATGGGGAAGCGGGTGCCAGCATCTGCCATATAATTCAGAATTCTTATGATGCACACCTCGGGAAGCATTTAGCTACCACTGTCGCTAAGTGGTATTTTATGACGGAAATATTAAAAAGAGTGTGTGGCACCTGCCACAAGATTACACGTTCACACGACGTATCCTTGGAAGCGGTTTACGCGAAACTTAGAGGGATATTTTACAATTTCATAGTTTTAAACAGCCTTACTCGCTTAAAAAATAGACAGCTATAGCAAAATAAGCACATAATTTTTTATATTTGCTTAAAAATTTGAGGTGAGACCCGCAGGTATAATAAGCTAGTATATACATTAGGGCGAAGTAATTTGTTCGGAGCGAAATTTTGGAAGAAAGTTATAGCAAATTCAAATTCTTTGGTTAATTCTATGCAAAAATGGCGAACAAACTAAATATATACCAAAAAGTTCCAACCTCCCAATGTTCAAAAGAAAAAGCAGTATATTGTAAGCTTTTTGGTCGAAATTGAATTTTCATTACACCGAAAAATTTTGAACATAATTTTCTATTTTCTAGGTTTTGTGAAGTAGTTTCTTAAGTATGAAGAAACAGACATAATTTTGTAAATGAAAAATTAACTTCTTTCAGAAATTATTATAATACACAGATTCAATTTTTTTTTGTATTGAGAGGATCAAACGTAATTTTTGATAATTTTTGAATCGAACGTAGAGTTCGAATATGCCATACGCTTTTTCGAAATTAAATTACTCCGCTCTAATGTATATATTTTGTTACTGTAGTATTTTTGTTGTCTCTTATTATTCCAATTGGCTTTGTCAAAGGCATATTCCTTTCTAATATAACTGTATATGTTAAGAGCCGATACTTGAAATGTTTGCTCTCTGTTTCATACATGTACACATATGTCAATATGTATTTTCTAACAACTTGTTTGAGAAACGTTAATTGCGTTCAATATTTATATTTAGATACAAAATGGTCAGCAAATACATATTGTTGTGCATAATATACTCGTGCTACATGCATTTCTACTCACATATATGGGAAACCCGCTTAACTGCTGCTTACTGAAATATCTAACCCGCTTAACTTCCGAAGTTTCTTTTGCTTCCGTTACTAGTTTATTTATACTCTTCCACCTTTAATTATTTTACTGGTTTCGGCACCTCTGAGATTACTTTTTGCCGAGGCTTTTTATCGGATTTTGCTGTAGTGATTAGAAATGTATAAACGCCTAACTATGTAATCATATACTTCCTGTCATTAATTAATTTTTTAGTGGGTCCAGCTTTTTTTTACTAACTTCTTAAGGTACTTTTGATTAATGTGCTTTTGTACAACAATCGGCGCTAGCTACTAGCCACCTGATCGTCGATAAGAAAGAGGCATGACTTCATACCCATAAAAAAAAAACAAGCAAAAAGAAAAAGAAACACGGTTGTTAATGTGAGCAGTGTAAATCACCAGTATTTTAAGCTATTAAGTATAAAGTTGCTTCGTAAGCATTTAGTAAAAAATTTTATTTATATGCATTTTAAATGTTGGCAACGCATTCGACGGTATCTCCTTTTGGAATCATTGTACACAGTGATATTGATTACCAGAGAACGAACTTTATGGAAATCGCCTTTTTTCTGCTAAATGACAATATTTAAAATTTTCACAAAATTTTTATATTAAAAATAAAAGCCCAATTTCAAAACTTGCGCTGCGGAAAATTAATTATACAAAAATTGCATGGTAAGC